TCCACTTATAAAGTTAATGTCCGCCTGCTCTAGCGAAAAATGCCCACGGTGCGGTGTAGGTTAAAATTCATCAAATATATCGAATTACTATCGTATATATCTGATACTATCGAATATACCGAAATTTACTAATTACAAAGATTTGTTGTAAAATACTCTATAAAACGATAGAGATTTACGATATCCCTCTCCAACGTAATCATCGCTATTCCTATACCGACCGATAACAGACAATTTTACGAGATATTAAATGACGATGACTCGTTGTCACAATTCGTTCGTGAACAAAATTTAGCTCCAAGAAATGATCAACATACATGTCATTGTGATGAAATCGAAAAAGAAAAAAAATTTATTCGAGTATAATTATCTTCTATATTAGGAAAAACACGACAGTTAATGCTGGAAGTTCAGGGCAAATACCACTACCCTAACGACAATGTTCCATGAGAATTTAATACGACTTCCAGAGTTCCCAGATGGTCCACATTTTGCGGACAAATTGGGGACTTTTGAGGGGAGTTTTGTAATTTGTCCAATGTCTGCTATTTGTCCGCATTTTAAGCATTTTCTGCTTTTACTGTTTTTCCCCTGAGTTAAAAATTCTTTTAGACTCATCGTTATAATGCGCTGAAATTTATAATTATTTATTATCAACGCCAGAGCTGCTTAAACTTATTCATTCTAATCAAAAATATACAGTCAGAAAACAACGTGTCAATTAAAATCCAGATTTACATTTCTGTTTGTTGTTTCCTTGTGTTTTATTGAGTAAAACCACAGAGTGCTAGAGAAAACATTGTTTTAACCGCTCGTGAAAAAAGGATGAAGTTAAACCATGAAAATGACTTTCGTTTTTTTCTCGCAGTTTTGACCTGAGGATCTGGCAACTCTGACCACTTCTACATTTTCTCTCCAAAGTTAATCTAACTCGATTTTTTTAGTTAGAAAACGATGTAGTGCTCAATTACCTTGATGTTTTATTTCCATCACAGGAATGAGCCGTTAGAAAAAAAATTCTGGTTGCTTCAGTTAATACGCCAATGAAATGGCGCAAATTTAAGCGAAGTCCTTAGTAGGATTCTAGCATTTTATGATCCTATCTGAAAGTTATTAGGTGGATCCTAAATGTTAGAATCCTGTAAGATCCTAGTAGGAAATAGACAGGCAGTGTGTAGGATTTTGTCTAAAGATATATGTAAAACTCGAAGATTTACTTCAACTTTTTAGAAGTCAACAAATTTCTTCGACTTTTGGAGGAAAATAATCTATTATTTCAACTTTTAGAATAACAGGTTTAGTACTAACCGGTGTCGAGAGGGGGAATTATTGACTTCAGAATTTGACAGAAAGCTGGAAAAACTGAAAAGTCGAAATGAGTTTCGAGTGTTATACTTTTTTTTGAGTGTAGAAACAAGTTCTTAAGAATTTTCAGCAAGTTTTCTGAAAATTTTAAGAAAAATAACTTGGAAATAGTGTTATCTTTAATAGCAAAAAATGTCCACACAGATAAGTGTATATGCTGGACATACGTGACATATACATCTGTCGAAAACCTATAGAAATATTTATACAAGTTATTTTAGATTAAACTTCTCCAGACGCGTCGCTATTTCGAAACGATAGTATTTCGTGTTTTCGGAGCTGAACTGAACTGAATTTATTTTACACAAAGGTATCATAAAAAGCACAAAAAAGACTTGTAGCATTCGGAGACACCCCATGATAATCTAAGCTAAAAAGTTTGTAAGAACAATTATAACACATACATTGCGAGAGAAAACATCAGTCCCTAGTAAAAATCTTAGACACTTCTTAAAATTATCTTACTAAAATCTTATAAGATCTTATCCTTTAAGATTTTGATAAGATAATCTACGATCTTATCGTTTAAGATCTTAATAAGATTTAATGACTCTACTTTCATTCACCCTTTTGTTTTGCTCTCATTCATCTATATACCGAAAATATGAGTGATTTTACGATTATTTTTCTTCTAGACTCTGCTAGTACTTGCTCTCTTGAAAGTGTTCAACAACCTTTTTAGAGAGTGCACATGCAGGCCAAGCTCCATAGTTGGACACCGAAAAATATGAAATTACTCTTCATTCTTCAACACTGTTCAACTGCTACTTTGGATAATGCGGATTAAAGACTGAAAAATTTTCAGCGAATCTCGAATGAATATTATTTAAAAAGCATCAGCGTTCTTATTATTAAGATCCTAACAGATTCTTATTCAGTCTTGAAAAAATTTTGGATAGTGTAATCTTAGTAAGATCTTAGAAAAATCTTATTAAGATCTTAGTAAGATTTCGCTTACATTTGTCTAAGATCCTAGAAAACTCTTATCGAATCTTAGAATTTTCGGATCGCACGATCTTAGTAAGATTTGTTTAAGATCTTAGACAAATGTAAGCAAATCTTACTAAGATTTTTTTAAGATCTAAGTAAAATTGTAGTAAGTTTTTCACTAGGGATGCGATACAATTTTAAGAGAAAGAGCAGATCTAAACATAAAAATTATTGAAAGCCTATATGATCTCTTAATGTACGTTTAAATACAGATAAAGAAGACAGACATGTTAAAGCCGAAAGAAGTTCATTCTATTTCTTTGAGTCACGTGAAATGAAAGAGCCAGATGCAGATTTTAGCTTGAGATGAGGAATGAAAATGCTATTATGACAACCTAGTCGAGAACTTTGATGCGTGGTTAGCGGTGAGATCAGATCAAAAGATGAGAGAGGACTGGTCGAGCATATTCGAGCACTGGTCTTACACAAGTTTTATACAGATGACCGTAAAAACGAGGGCGAGTCTCGAAAAACTCTTGGAATAGAGCTGAACATTAGCCGAGATTTTTTTGAAACATACTCAATGTGAGATTTCCATGTGAGACAATAACACCAAGTAGTTTGAGAGATGAAATTCACTTAATATTAATGTTTTTTATTCAAAGAATGAGCGATGGAAGAAAATCCATTGACATTTGTTTATGTTTAATCAGCAACGAACACCATTACAAAATTGTCTTCGTAATCTAATTCCAAATTTTTTAAAACTAGAAGTAACATTTATGTGAACAACGTGAAAAAGCTCGATTTTTCATTTAGACTTTCAATTCTTCACGATATCAACATTTATAGAAGTTGACTTTTCCTCACATTTTTGAAGTCAAATGTTTGCGTAGATAAATCGAAAGAGAATCTTTTGATGTTGTTCCAAAAATTAGGGACATTTTAGAAGGAATCCAAACTTTGCAGCTCATGTAACAGAAGAGAAATCTTTACAATGTCAACTGGCTAATTCTTATTCATATTTGGCGACATCTCTCGAATGTCGATAGATAGCGCTTTTTAATAATTATGTCGCAACTATATTTTAACAAGCCCAACGTTCTCTGAAAGTTTTGTCCTGATCCAACTTATAATTATCGCGATAGCTTTCTAACATGGGTGCAACAAGCAATTATAGTTTGTGATGAATATTTTTGCGAATAAATAACTCATTTTCATAGATGAAAAAGAGTTGAAACTATCATTCCTCAGAATCACAACATCTTATAAACTGAAAATTATTGTTTTCAAAAATCATTCATGTTTTGTTGAAAAAAGTCGCCGAAGTAAAAAGATTAGGGCAATTAATTTTGATATAGATTTCTTTCTCCTAATATTTATTGTTTCAAATGTGGTTTGTTGCAGCTTGATTCCGGTATGTTATTTCCTTAAAAGACTTTTATATATTGAGAAGAATAGATTTTACGTTAAAAATCATGAGATTTTTGAAACTTTGTAAAAAATACCCAGAAATAAATATGAATACATATACACAGCATGCCAACGTTTAATACGTTGAAGAATATTTGCACAAAGTGTGAACTAAGTGTGTTTTAGGCTGCAGAAACTCAGTACAATCGAAGAGTAAGTTTTTGGAAATTTTGTTACCACAGAAAACTATTATTTTTTCCTAGAGAAGTACTAAACTAGTAAAGTTCTTTATCAGTAAATAGATAAATAAGTCAAGATTTATTTCTGAACTTGTTTTCAGTGAAGATAGAGTTTCAATTGGCAAAATATGTAAAACTGATGGTATTTATCGATATACCATTTTCCACTATGAATTTTCTCATCATCAGAGTAAAGACAAAAAGCTACTTTAACAGGAGACGATAGTCTGAGGAGCTAGAAGATTTTAAAACAGGGCTCAAATGTGACAACTATACAGTAGTGGTCAAAAGGATGAATCATCTGTAACTAAAGAACCATGATAGCTTGAACTTCAAATTTTACGGTTAGAAATCTCACCAACTAAATGTTAGAATATTATTTTGACTTAGAGCTTTCATCAGTGACTCTCCCTGCATTGTCCGTAGAGCACTGCCTCCAAAATTTATAGGTAATAATTGAATCGTTCTAGAAATCCATTAAAAATGAGATGGTAACCCATACACGTAGGAAGACAAGTTTAAGGAACTAGGGATCATCCTTCATACCATATCTTCTGCATTTAATATAAACCTCTTGCCATATTTGGCACATTGAATATTTTCTCGAACAAACCGCGTCATTGCTCTATAGACCTAATTTCGAAAATTTTCGCTTCATATTGGACTTCTAGTCTGAGTAGAGACTCTTCATAATTATGCTAAAGTACAATCATAGGCTCACATAGTTATATCATCATGGTAAAAACAACAGTAGGTGAAACCCTGTAAAAAAGATTTGGTCAATGTGTTTTGATAAGCATGCTGTAACCCTGTGTAAAAGTGACAGCTACAGTTCAAATTCTTGAGATTTATAGCGTGAAAGGCTATTTTTCCTGGAATCAAGCTTATCCAATAACTCAGGCGCCCGCTTAATCGTAGATTTTTTGGATTAAATAGCTAGTTGCGCGGAGCAATTGTCCACCTGTTAGCTTCAAGCAGACGATCCAGTAGGCGCTTAATTGGGCGATGAGCACCGAATTCAAACGCATCAGCGAGCTTAAACTCTCATCTAAGCTAGCATTGACGGGTTAAAAATTGGGTCGGGTACCGGCAAACGTCCACTTCACAATTATTTTTTCTGCTTGGGCTGAATCATAGAAAAATGAGAGATCCTTCAATCTCATGGATCGCCTAGTTAAAGAAACTCAAATGCGTTGTAACTACGCAAAATTTGAAGTTCAAAACTTTCATGCCTTTTTTAGCTATAGAGAATTCATATCTTAGACTATTGGAAGCTATAGTCTTTAAAACATACCTTAATTCCGCCACTTTAATGAATCCATTTCCATTTTTATCAAATACTCTAAATGCTTCTCGAAGTTCATCTTCTTCCGATTCATGTTCATTTGCACGTTTAGCCATCATTTGTAAAAATTCATTAAAATCAATTAAGCCCTTTCCTACATAAAGCAGATATGCTATCATAGTATGTGTAACAAAAATGAAAGAGAGTTGTTACCTTCACAATCAAATTCATTAATTAATCCCTTTAATTCGTCTTCTGTTGGATTTTGACCTAACGTTCTCATTACACTACCTAGCACTTTTGGAGAAATGGCACCATCAGAATCTTTATCATATAACAAAAATGCTTGTCGAAATTCTAAATAGACAAATATAATATAAATGATTACAAGTTAAATGTAACCGATTTTGGAAATGTTTAGAAAAAGATTAGTACCTTGAATTTGTTCTTCAGTAAAATGTTCAAGCTAAAAGAAAAAAATATATGGTTCTGTTTTCTTACACATTATAGATAATAACAACAATCAACAGATAAAGCAAACCATACAATGCAAAAGCGTAGACAAATTAGAAAACTCAAATCAGAATGATTACCATATCGCCATTGAAAAAAAGAATGGCCGATGTAGACGTGAATATTGTATATTTTTTCGTTTTAGCCAATTGCGACTGCATTATGTCTCTATTTAACGAACTATGAACGAATGCTTTAAATTATTCTGTTTTATGGTTTCAACCATAGATATTTTATTCGGATAACACAAAATATCAATGACATGCAATAGTTATTCGTCAATCACCATTGTGTCAATGTCAACATATCAGTATGTTGACGAATCCCTATCTTTTGTTTTCGTCAAGTAGTGACCAAAATGTGCTTACAAAAAGATAAAGATATATCTCAATAAAATGATAATCATAAAAATAAATCATCAACGCCAATCCACAAGTATAACTAGTAAAAATAAAGTGTTCGCAAAATATTCTTCTCAAATCCAGATCGTCAATAACAATAGTGTTAACAGGCAGTGGTCGACGGTCCAGAAGCTAACAATTTTTTTCGTAAGTTAAAAACGTTTATTTTTGAGTATTAATCTAAAAAATGTTGCCCTTATTATTTTTAAAAAATATTTAACTTTTTTGGTTTCTGATACCACATCTCCAATTCGGTTCCAGTAGTATAGGTTACGCAAAAAATTATATAAAGACTTCTGCATATTTTGAATTAGTTAACAGTTTCGCTTCAAACATTAAGCTTCACTTATTTATTAAAAGAAGTAAATCTTATTGTATATCTTTTCACTAGCGATCCAGACGTGTCATATGAGTGCTATTTCTTCTGGAATAGGACGCAAAAACTCATAGGGCATTTAAGGGCATTTTTCTATATAAATGATTTTGTTCTCAGATTTTAATATTATTTGTCACACAAGGTTTTCTAATATATTTTGCTAAGTATTTGTTCCTCCATTACCTCTGGATCATTTGGATCATATTGATAAAGTAATTTCGCTTTTAATGGTTGAGCCTTAAGATTTTGTAAACGAACTTCATCCGATACGCAAAAATAACACGTTGATAATCTTGGATGCATATTATCACTATTCTCTCCTTTTACTTCCTTACGGTGAAGATAACAAAACATTAATGAATAACATTCTCACTATTACTACTAGTAGAATGGACTATTTTCGAATCTTACTCACTTATATTTCGAAGAAACATCAGCAGAAATAGAAGAAGAAAGCAATTTAGTCTATATTCTGCTCTGATATATTCGATTTTAAAACGGAAAAAAAATAAAGAGAAAACTCAATAGTTTATGTATTACTCTTCTTTTCTGCTTCTTCTCTTTGATAAAATTTATTAGTTTACAAGAATTGCCTAGCAATTTCTTTTTATGTACGAGAATGACGATGATCATGAAGCATTTAAAATAACTTTAAAATCATTAATTATTATTGAAAATTAACTTTGATTAACGGTAGATAAGAGACTGAGCATACAAAAGAAAATATTTGTTTGTATGCTGTTACTCTGTAGAGTGGTAAGTTTCATGAGGAAGTTAGTCGGAAGATGTTCAAAGTCTTTCAGCTAACGAGGGAAGGTCTCTAAGTACTACTTGCATTTTTTAACAGGGCATATCCTAGTTCGTAATCAGCTCGACGAGTTGATTACGATGGTATAAAACATTTTTTCTCATGGTTCTTTAAAACTCGGTTTTCTGGAAAACCAGTTTTTCAGAAACTCTAAAAAATAACCAAAACTTTTCTTAATGAGGCATGATTGTAGCGCGCATATTTCTAATTAAAATGAGATATCCCCCAGCTCTACATGGTCTTTCTTTGCAAAGTTATAGAATTTACAAGAAAAGTCCTAAATTAATTTCTTCCTATTTCTGTAGCTTTGAGCTGACAATGAACATTTAGGGCTTTTCGTGTAAATTTTATAACTGTGCAAAGAAAGATCATGTAGAGCTGGGAGATGTCTCATTTTAATCAGAAATGTGCGCGCTATAATCATGTCTCATTAGGAAAAGTTTTGGTTATTTTTTAGAGTTTCAGAAAAACCAGTTTTTCAGAAAACCGAGTCTTCTAGAGCCATGGGAAAAATGCTTTATGCCATCGTAATCAGCTCGACGAGCTGATTACAAACTAGGATATGCCCCTTGAAAAGTGAGAGTGGCACTTAGGGACCTTCTCTCGTAAAATCAAAAAATCTTTATTCATCTTTTCTTCTCGTCGATTCCCAATTAGATCTACGAAATATGTTTTTTTTCTTAATAAATATATAATCTTCTGTACTATAACATCCGAGGTTTTTTAAACTTAAATTACAGTTTCAAAAGTAAATAAAAATAAAAAGAAGTATTTTCTGTCGTTTGTCATTCTATATTTATGGTTTATTCTCTTTGATTCCTTTCTGTTCTCAAAAAAACAAATATATTTTATTTAATAAGGATAGTTATGGTGATATACCAGTATGTCAAAAGATACGGCGTCAGGAGGAATGTTCCAAATTATTTTTCGAATAGAAAATGATTGGCAACAGATGTGCAAGATATTCCAGTGCTTCTAGGTCAAATTACGTAGTCCGTTTTAGTAACAAATCGAAGAGTAAGAAGCTGTAGACTGTTGAAAGTAGTGCTTGACATGTATAATAAACAATAGTAACAACAAACAATTTAGCCGATTTTTTAAATTTCTCCATAGAATTTCAGAGTACTAAGAAATTTTGATTTATATTTCAAAACTTTCTCGTCTCCCATCCTCTAAAATCGTATTTATGGAAGATATTTGATTTTGAGCTTACTTGACTTAAAGTACTATCAAATTACAACAGTTTATATTAATTTTTATGCATAGGAATTTAAAGTTTTAGTTAAAACGCTCTGTTAGACATCGAGTTTCATATTTTAACTCCGATGAATTCTAATCAAATTTTGATATCGCCACAATGATCTGCATCATGATTTAGTATACAGCTGAAGCGAGTGTTACGCTATTAATTTTTAATTACACTCTTTTCTTATTTATTTTTTCAGCAATCCCACAATTTGTACAATTCATGCAATAAACTACGTTTGTTTGTAAAAGCTTTGGTACTGAGTTTCTACCTTCATTATCAAATTTTCGTAGTTATTTTGTATTCATCAAGTAGTGAGTGTATACACAAAAAGTTTTGAATAATCAACTATTCAATTTACTTGTCTAGTGTCCGCTAGAACTTTCCATTTTGAACTATAATACTCGATATTCAATTATGATGTCTACTTCATCAATCAAAAAATTCATTTTCAATTTTTCTTCAAATTTTATATTTGGATCAAGTAAACTGCTCCTACAGTTTTTATTATATTCTCTAATAAAGAATTAGAATCTATCAATGTGAAAGTGTCTTAAATAATATTTTGCACCTTTATAGTGGAATTTTTTAAAGAATTTTCGCCATCTTATGACAGGCATCTTCGAATTTTAAGCTGCTTGTCTTTTGTACACTTTTTATTTAGATTCTGGTTTCTTTAGTTGTTCTTTATTTCACATATTTACCCGTTACATATTATGATATATACATTATGATTGTATCTGCTGTAGTTCAGGGCTTTTTATCTTATAGGTTAATTACACAGAGACCATGCGAAGCGGATCAAGCAGAAAGACGGATTATTCAATAATCAGGAAAATGGGATCAAATTCTTTTACAAAATGAACAGACCGTCCAAGAGAAGAAAGTTATTCGGTTCGTTCCTTTTGAGTCGGTAAATTCATGACGTATCTAGAAGTATCATCTGTTTACGGTACACAATTGATACACATACACTTGTGATAGGCAAGGACGAACAGTACTGTTTTAAAATTCTATGATGCTTTTTTTTACAGTTATTTAGTGAATCAAGCCATTTTCTCAAGAGCCAAAGAAAATCAAACCAAAAACTTTCCAGGTTACAGACGTGCGTGCGATCACCCACTTACCTTACTCTGGTCGAACTATCAGAGTTTATAAAAATAATATATATAATACTGAGGGTTCTAGTCTATTCACTGTAACACGTTTCGAAAATGCAAAACGTGGATTATTATATATATAAATGGTTTTCAGTTTTATAAAGAGAATGCAGGAAAATTACTCCATTTACTGATTTGTTACGTGCCAAGACTATTAAGCAAAATAATTTTCTAACCTCTCCAAATCAACTAAAAACTATCTAGTGCCCAGACAAAACACTCACATAATATACTCTCTGGCTCTTAAGGGTTTTCGATCTTGCCCTATCTAATGCCAAATAATTGCATTATAAATAATTGCACTTTCTTTCTGACCGTGCACTAACAGTGGCTAATAACTACATTTTCCATTTGAGGATCGCAAAAAAACGATTTTATGATCCACCCTAACTTTCTATTTGATGGACAAACAGATCAGGAGTGTCGATATGTTTCCATGCGGTTTCCCCACTCACAAGAAGAAAGTAAGGGGCTCTTCGGAAAATGAGTACCGCCAAGTCTCTATATGAGTTGTAGGTCTCGGATCTCCGTCAGTTTTTTATTTTTAACCCCAAATCCTTGAAAAACCTTCAGTTTTGGAGTTTTCCCAAAACAGAAACTGTTTTAAATAGCAAAAAGTGAACTCTGTTAAATGAGCTTGTTTAAAAAATTAAATGATTACGATGAATATTTTTAATTTCAGTATTTTCGAAAGTTCTGTGCTCAAAAAAATCGGTTTTCAAGAAGTCCATGGTCAAGAAGGCATGTACCGACCCCGAGTACTCGATATTCGATACTGCTCCATACTCGACTACTCGATTGTTCATTAAATCTATTATCGAAAGCAAAATATAAGACCATAGCCATTCTTTGAATAATTGTTGAACGAAAGTAGATGAAGACTCGCGATTTTTGCTATTGGATAGCCAAGACTAAAGAGTATGTTTAGAAGATAAAAGTATTTAGAATTTTTTTCAAAAACCGGTTCCAAGGAGATCTCCAGAAAACCGCTTCCTAGCTCGAAACTTCGACTTAACAATAAACTGATTTTTTCCATGAATAGATAGACTAAACCGTCCTCTACAAAACAGAACGTTAGCGAGAGATCCATCTTCCATGGTTACACAGGAGACGAGACTTTCCAGGGAGCCCTAGGACTGCTCTATATTCCAGCAATACATGGAAACATAAGTTTCGACTATGCTAAATCTCGTGGCAATATTTGTTTTTAAAAACGGATTTTAAAATCCAGCGCAATTCAAGTTCTTCAAAAATTAGGGTTTCCCGCCTGTTTTCACCTATTATTAAAAAATTCACAGTTCACTCAGAAAACATCAAAACCAGTCCAAAGCTCCAGGATATACAATATTTAGGCTGTTTTATATTCTGTTCATAAGGAATCAATAAGAAAAAATATATAAAGGGCTTTCCGAAAGGGTTTCTAGAAAACCTCAGCACAAAAGCATCATTTTTTCATTTTTTACATTTTGCAACCACATCGGACAGAATTAACTGTATCGTGGAGTTTTGGACTGGTTTTGATGT